CCTATCGAACGTAAAGCTGATCGAATTATCGTCGACGTCCTCTCCGATTCACCTTTAGCATTGCCTGTAAGAAATGTTGTAATTTACGGAGGTAATGACCCACTCTTTAATGTTGAGTACTTTCAGGATTTCGGTTATAATATCATCTGCTGAGATTTACTACTGTTTATGCCACATACTGCTAATTGTGAGCTTATCACGAAATTTATTCCACGCAGGTAAATTTTTGGATTGTTCCGGACCGGTACGACGTAGTGATCTCTAAGAAGAATTGCTATTCCTACTTTAAAAGCCAGTAGAGCATTTGCAACTTCTTTCGTGTCACCACCACGAGTATGTTCATAGGCGGCAGTGATCACTTAACAGGTTTTATTACTCATTTGCCTCCTTTTCTATAAAAAAAAATTTTGCAACATTAACTACTGACTTTCACGTTTTCAGCGGTGAATGGAAACATCGCTTACTGACTAAATGATATTAAATAAATAAATTAGTCGACGAAGTATGTAAGTCTACGAATCCGCAATGTTTGTACTTTCACTTTATCGTAAATAAAAAGTAAGTATTGTTCCTCTATCAACACTACCTTTCTAATAGGGTAAATCAAAACCCGCTTTTATTTCATTTACGACATATTAAAAACGTGAATAATTAATGGTATATAAATATTGAACGTTCAACTCCAACACTATAATTCATTTTCTTGTTATGTTTACAAGATTTTTTTGTGCATTTTCTAACTAGTTCCATATTTTACTGCATCTGGGAGGAATAACAAATTTTCTTAAAAAAACAATAGATTGTTGTAGAATTCAATAAATCACTACACTTTTGTGAAAATCAGCGAATCTACTACAAATTCAGTAAAACAGGCAACAGTTAGGGGTAAGACGCTGCGCAGTATCGAATATTAGGGGTTGCTTTTGGAATCAGAAATGTGGGAAGCGGCGTTACATCCACCCTATCTTCAGTCTCAACGTAATTGGTTTTGCATGTTGTGAATTTTCGCGCGCCCCTACTCAAATACAGTCCTAATCCAAGTTGTTATAATGCCTAGTTATTATTTGGTTGCTTAGTTTAGGTAGTGTATTTTTTTTATTAACATCTAACGTTTAAGCTACGCTTTCTGCACGAAAGACTAATTATAAAATTTGATCTAATTCCGAATCCATAGAAAAGCTGGATTCTTCGAGTTAATTGGACCATAAGCTTAAGAGTCACGCATGTGTGGCATTCGTTAGTTATATGATGGGGGTCTCAGCTACGGGTCCTCCAAGTATGGTATGCAAATCTAAACCTAGACGACTGTTTACTGTATTATTAATCAATGACTAGGTGCATTGAGGAGTGCATTGAGGAAAGCGGGTTTCTAGTGCATGAGGTGGGTCGATTTCGCACTACTCGTTGGTGACGGAGAACTACGTTTTGTTAGAGAGTGTTTAGTGTTTGCAGAGCGGGATCCCCAGCAGGTCCGGGGTACTTTCATCCCCTTCCTCGACCGGGTCGATGAGGGCATTATGCGGGCGACATTTAGCGTTTGGAACAGTTTATTATATCTTTAAAATGATCGCGTCATTTTGGGAATTTGCAGTAGCTGTATAGCTCGATGTTTTTCTAGCCAGCGTGCGTTAGTTTCTATGCGGTTGAATTACTTTTTTCATGATCTAATGTTTTTCCAAAAATCTCTTCTTATTATAGAAAAGCATCTTGTTTGTTAAGGGCTTTTTTTACGAGGAATTTGCGTGGAAATTGAGTCGGCTGACAGCTAGAATAATCTAGCATTATACTAGACATACGCGTAACTGTTAGAAATATATGAACGCGTATGAACGCGGCTCTATTCCTAACAGTTTCATTGTGAATGCCGAACCATATGTTGGTGTTTTTTTTCAAAGATATTTGATCTTCGTCTCACAAATCTCTAATTTCAGTTTTTTTCTGGTTTGCGAGTGTAGATGAAGTTTAGGTGAGATGTGTGTAGGTACAGGTGTGTAGGATCAACGGCGTTTTGAAGTCGGATATTGATATGGAATGCACGTTTTTCCGTGAAGAGAATGGTGATGGGCGTGATTTTTTCAATTGTTTGTATTTTACGTTGTCGCGATTTTAGATGGAAATGAAGGGCATAATGATGATTGTTTGGCTATAAATAGCGCTTTATTACAGTGCCCTCTGTCGAATTCAGGCAATATTTAAGGAAAGAAATGAGATTTCATCGTTATTTTTATATAACGACATGGCGATGGACTTTTTTTTTTTAGATATTATAAATAAGTCTCGACATTTAAAACTTGAACTAATATGTAAAAAGTATTCTACGCATAAGGTTTTGTCAAATAATTTAAATACTACCGTTTCTGGTAGATGGCGTTGTAAGTTATAGTAAGCCCAAGTTATAGTAAAGTGCCCCGGCTATCTCACTTATCATACGAAACGCAGAAGTGTAACATTTCCATTTCACGCCTTGTTGTTGTGTGTGAGGTCGTGGTACTTCCCCAGACGGACCTGCCCATTCGTGGAACGGCGAAGACTTTTGCGTGGCTCTACCACAGTTGTGTTTTGTAGTGTGTGTTTCTCACAGTTATTGCGGTATAACCACCCGCATTCTACCTTTTCGGTGTTGCGGATGTTAAGCAGATAACTTTTACGAGCGGTCGTTTGATTATTTATACGTATATTTTTAAATAATACGTTTTGTAATTTTTTAAGATTAATTTTTAATGGATCAGGGAGGTAGCGCATAGCGCCAATAACAACACCAATGTTTATATTTCTATTTATTGATTCAATTTGAACTTCGAACTCACAATGAAATGCAGCACAGTAAACACAAAGAATTCTCAAACCATTTATTATGTCTTAAATTACGTGTAACATCGAAATGGGAATTACGGGAACCGGGGTTCCACTACTAACACCAAGAAGTTGACATCCGAAGAAAAAATTTAAATTTGCGTCGTCTTTATTTGTCATTAGCGACATCGACGCCAGCAAGAGAAAAATCGGATTTTGAGCAAAAAGTTTTGTTAAAAAAATAGGTGGTTGGCTTGTAGTTACTTAGAATCATTAGTAAAAATACACAGCGGTTACTTTATGCAGGATTAAAATTACGTTATACACAGTGAGTAGACTTATGTAAATGCCGTACAAGCCACGGGCGGGCGCTTTACGCCTTTTTCTTTGCGACGGTGGACAAATTATTATCAACGCCATCTATCGTTCATTTAGATGTCGGGCGTTGCGATTTGATATCGCGTCATCTATCGGTAACTTTGCATAAGTACGTTTTGACCACGTCGCAACGAATTAGGTGCAAGAAAAGGCGCTGTGGCGTTTCTGATATGATTTCCGTTCCTCCTCAGCGCCATTTCGCCCGTTTACGAATAGAATAAGTGTATATAAATTAGCTTATGTAACAAATAAGCTTAAATGTATATAATACTGAGGCAGAATTACATCTTAACTACGGCGTAACATTAAGTGTGGTACGTGGGATTAGACACGAGCGCAAGCCCTTATTTTAAACGGACGAATGCGATATATAATAATATTTTTGCTTTATATCTATGTATCTGACGCTAGAACATCTATATAATGTATTACTTTTTGTACATCTACTTATACATAATCGTACATACACTCACTAAGCTTACCAACACGGCCCCGTCTGCCCAACTTGCGCGCGAACCGTACCGAAACGCGGCCTGTGGCGACTTGTGACTAGATTCTGCCCGAACAGCGTGATTTTCGACGCGTCACAGACTAGTAAGGAGCATTTCGGCAACGGCAGGGGCGTTTGGGCACGCGGTGCTATATGGGTGGAAACTACGAGTATTGTCCCGCGGGCGAACGAAGTTCGAACTTAGAATGGATCGACGAGTTGTGAACGTAACGGAATGCCCAAACTAAATCCATGATCGCGCGTCCGAAACGAAGGCAACGCTAAAACAACAAAACGGACCGAAATGTAGGTTTCACCCGCGCCGGCTTTGCCGCCCGTCCCCTCGCTAAGTACACAATAATTATTAAAATATATTCTCGCGTTTTTATTACATAGAATTCACGTTATGATCTAACTACATTAGAAAAGGAAAGCGGGCTTCAAGTGTTGGAGAATTTAGGTTGGAATTCGTACGCGGAGCCTATGTACACAGCGTACGATGGACGTTTGTTCCTCTCGCCCAAGTCGTAATGCCCATAGACCAATAGCGAAAGAGATAGAGCTAGCTAAATACTTAAACGAACGAAGAAATCGAGATCAATTCGAAGAAGTCTTAAGTGTTTCACGTAACGAAGTAAGAAGAGACAAACGTTCATTGGGCATTACCACTTGAGCTGCGGCCTCGAAAAATCAATTAAAAAACTACTAGGTGACGACACGTATGACATCTAGAACACTAGGCGAAAACTTAGTTCTAACCTTAGAAACGAAATAAAATATTTTGGTGCAAACGTAAAATAAATAAATTATATAAAATCATATCACCACTAACTCTTATTACGTAAGAACCGTATGACTTATTGCGAGTACCGCAATATATACGCCGACTAATCACACAAGCTTTATTTAATAAATGAATATCCCATGGTACTCTACCACCGGACCATGTTCGGAAGAGTTGTAGAGAAGTTAACACACACACATTCATTCCATAAAGAATTATTTTTAGGGTAGGAAGTTTGCGGGGGACACAAAACGTTAAGAGACACTAAGGGACATCTAGCACACACCACAAAGTTTTACATGACTGTATTTATATATATATTATAATTGTAGAATAACTTACGAAAAACATTTGAACAAAAGTAACACTGGCGCGATCATGTTTAAATATTAAAATAAATATAACAAAATCTTGATCAACGTTCTTAAATTGATTTTAAATAAAGAATTTAAAATAAAAATAAAAAATAACAGAACATGTATTTCAACGTCGGGGAAAGAGGAAGAGAGAAAGAGAAGAGAGTCCGGTGGGAGAGCGAGTGGGCGGGAGAGTTTACTCCTTGACTTCGAAGTATTTGTAGGTGGGATTCTCGTAGCCATTGATCTGCATGTTGGCCACGTGTCGCTCCTCAGGAGTGGGGGCCACGGCGCCAGTTTGCTCCACCTGGAATGGAAATTGCGATACTTAAAAAATGTCTGTCTTCTAACCGGTTTAGTAAAGTAACAGCCTATACATGTCCCACTGCTGGGCAAAGACCTCCTCTATACAGAGGGTATCAGGGCATAGTCCACCACGCGGCCCCACTGCGGATTGGCGGACTTCGAAATACATTTTTTTTGTTATTATTTCGAAAATATGCAGGTTTCCTCACGATGTTTTCCTTCACCGCGTAGCACGTGATAATTCAGCACTTAAAGTTAAAAACTTCATTGGTGCCGGCACCGGGGATCGAACTCAGGTTGCTCGAGTATATATTGAATTAAGGCGAGCGCCCGGACACTGAGCTATCACGGCTTTGTAACCAGTTTAGTAAAATAAATAAAATAAGCATTCAAGAGATTTTTGCACGTTATTTTTACTTGATATCCATTGCTTAGGTTTGAATGAGAAGTGATGATATTTTCCGCTTGTTAAAGCTAGAGTAAATTCGCATGTATTGGGGGCATTAGGGAAGCTTCGTATGGATTGATATACTGTACTCTGATATTGAGAATCCTTGAATAGGAGTGATAAAAGTATGGCTGTGACGGTGCGAAATAGAAACTGCGTAGGTATCCCCTTTTTTGTCATTTTTCTTTCCTTCAAAATTTTACAATATTATAAATTATAATTTTTTATTAGGAACAGCTCGTGAGCGATCATCTCATTCCCGGGGGCATTATTAATGCACTCATCTATATTGTAATAACCCTGTTTGAAAAGTTTTTCTTTAATAAATTCCTTGAACCAGTTAACAGACAGGCTTTGCGCGTTAACCGAGATTTTTTTTCGACGCGTATACACCGCCCAACGCACTGGTCAATCGGTCTATGAAATCCAGTAACTTCTTTTTTATATGAGTAAGTGACGAGCTGGCGGTTCGCCTGATGTTAAGTGATAACCGCCCGCCCATGGACATTTGCAAAACAAGATGCGTCGCCACCTCTTAATAACGTGGGCCGCGGCAACCTCACTCACGAGACGACCATACTTCCACTTTACGCTGGTCTTCTGTGAGGCCGTGGCACTAAGCCGGACGGGCCTGCCCATTCGATGCACTGTTGCGTGGCCCAAGCCGTTGGACTGCGCATGTGGGTGGGGCGCTCACCTGCACGAAGCCCTGGGCGGCGGGGGCGCGGTCGCGGCGGCGGGCCACCGCCAGGGCGACGGCGGCGGCGGCGGCCAGGGCGGCCCCGCCCACGCACAGGGCCGGGTACAAGGCGCCGGAGCCGCCGCCGCTAGCGGGCCCGCGGACGGTGTAGCCCTGCCGGGGTCGACGTCCCTTTCACTCGGGCCCAAATTTCTTATGTGCAACTCTGTACTACGACTCTAAGGTTGGCTGGGAGATGACGCCTTCGGCATTAGGTCCGCCTTTGTAATTTTTGCGTATTATTATGCATGCATTACTACTGAATAGATTTTAATGAAACTTTATAATAATATAGCTTATCAGAATAACACATAGGCTATAATATATAAAGATATTGTGTGAATTGTCCAAAATATAGGTAATGATAAGTGTGAACTAAGTAGTATATAATAAAAAACTCATTGTTAATTCCCTTTGGTAGTACTGGTGAAGCCGCGGATATGGCTAGTAAATAAATAAAGTTGCCAAGCGCGTAGGCGGTTCATCTGATGTTAATTAAGTGAATACCGCCGCTCAATGAAGTTTAAAAAACCTGAGGACTCATCTCATTGCCCAATTTTGTTCAATATGGAAAAGTTGTGAAGAGATTAGGCGGTGTGACCAGATGTTATGTGGGTACCGACGCAATGTGCTATTGCGAACTCTTACCCTATAAAGATATTTTATCAAGAGTATCACTGCAGGATAATATTTGACTAGCGTCAGTTCGTCAGAGCGTTTGTGAATTGAATCACTTGATGACACTTAAATGTCGCGATTTTAAACACTACCTGTTGATGAAGAACCGTCAACTGGAATGAAGCGGGAATTTCCGCGGTGAATTGATCCTTATTCGAATACTAAAATAACATTTCCGTTGACCGAAAATTCATTGAATATTTAAATACCGGGCTGTTGGCACTAAACTTCTGTCTGGTTTCAAATGAAATCACTTATTCATCGAAGTAAGAGATGTACATTTCATCCATCGATAGTCTTTTTTTAAATCTATCACCGTTTCGTAATGAGATTCCTCTAACGGAGGAGAAACTGGCGAAAGAAACACCGTACGTATCCTCTTCTATATCATTTTTTTCTCAAACAATTATTACATTGTTATACAGTACATAAAAATTTTTTAGACACAGCTTAGGAGCGATCATCTTACTCCAAGGGGTTGTTTGTTATCATTAATATATTCATTTATGTAATGAATAACCCTTTTTAAAAAGTTTTTCTTTAATAAATTTCTTAAGCCTGTTAATAGACAGGCTTTGCGCATTAACTGGGGTTTTGTTGTAAAAGCGCATAGTCCCATGAACGAGTTACCTACTTACTGTATGGAGTAGTAACTGGTTTGCGGGAAAGTTGGGATTGAGACAATTACGAGACAGAATTGTATTTGCGCGAAGCGGCGATTGTGCCACGGAGTGATCGGCTTAATGACAAGTCCATTTTTTAATAACGAGAAACAAAACCGAGTTCATATATCTCGCTCTGTATTCATTTCACAATTGATTTTCACGAGTTCCCTACGTGTCTGCGGAGCTCGAGGTCAAATTGATTAATATGCCACCACGTGGGAAGCACCGGTTTTCAATTTTTTTTTTTTTTTTTTATTTTTAAAACATTGCCCTCACTTTAGGATAACATTATCCTGTGTTGTAAGGACGTTTTACAAACATAAATTGCACGAGGACAAACGCCCAGATGCGAAACAACTATCTGTGGGTCGCACAAATAGTTGTCCCGTGTGGGAATCGAACCCGCGACCCCCGACGCCGAAGCCAACACCTTGGCGATTGTGCCACGGAGTTCATTCAGAAACGGTTAACTCAGTGGAAAGTCTTGACGTGACAAACATAAAAAAATACAGTCGAATTGTGAACCCCCTTTTTCGAAGTCGGCGGAATCAAATTGTCACTTACAGGCTGCGCGTGTTGCATCTCATGCTTGAGCACGTGCGCCGGTGGCGGTGGAGCGCGTTCCTCGGCCTGCTCTAGAGCCGCTCGCAGGCCTTCACCCTCCGTCTGCGAATGGAGGCAAAGTTTTCTTACGCTGAATTTTAATGGAGAACTAGCGACCCGCCCCAGCTTCGCACGGGTGCAATGTATAATACACGTAAGCCTTCCTCTTGAATCGCTCTATTTAGTTAAAAAAGCGCATCAAGATCCGTTGCTTAGTTATGAATATCCAAGCATACATAGGGACAGACAGACAGCGGGAAGACTTTCAGTATGTAGTGAAGTCGCAAACGAGCTGTCGGTTCACCTGAAGTTAAGTGATAAACGCCTACTATGGACATTTGCAAGGCCCGTAGGGTTGCAGATGCAATTATTACGATGATTTTTTTTATTAAAATTCAAACATCTTTATTCAATATAGAAGCATTACACTTAGTTATTGATTGTCAAGACGCTACCATTATTAAACGGTACCTTGATTTTTTGCAATGATTTAATTCTACTCTATCCACGCCGGACTTCTGTGAGGCCGTGGTACTAACCCCGACGGACCTGCCCATTCGTGCAACAGCGAACACTGTTGCGTGGTCCTACCACAGCGAAAAAGTAACACCAAAAGGTCTTTATTTTACGCCCACTTCGTGAAAGTGACCAGACAAATTTTTTGATGTCTAAAATGATATATGAGTAAGAGTAAGCAAATGATGACGTGGAAGATGCCGAATGATTTGAACTACGTCTTATAACATGAAATCAAAGAAGACATCAATCCAATGACGTGAGGTGGTCCATATATAGGGTGTGCCAATGTATGTAGTAAAGTAAAAGTAAAGTAACAGCCTATACATGTCCCACTGCTGGGCAAAGGCCTCCTCTATACAGAGGGTATCAGGGCATAGTCCACCACGCGGCACCACTGCGGATTGGCGGACTTCACATATATTCGAAATATATTTTTTTTTTTTGTTATTATTTCGAAAATATGCAGGTTTCCTCACGATGTTTTCCTTCACCGCGGAGCACGTGATAAGTCAGCACTTAAAGTTGAAAACTTCATTGGCGCCGGCACCGGGGATCGAACTCAGGTTGCTCGAGTACATCGAATTAAGGCGAGCGCCCGGACACCGAGCTATCACGGCTACCAATGTACGTAGTCTTGCATTAATTACCTCGCTAGTGGTTCGTCGGCTGGAGGTCTCGTCGATTTCGCCGGTTTCGGTCTCAATTTCGGGCAAGTCGGTCACCGTGCTCGTCAGGAATTCCTGTGGCGATAGCGATACACGATTATAAATTGTGTGATAGTAAAATGTTATCGTCTAGTATTTTTATAAAAAAAATATTAAGTTAATATTAAGTAAATTAAAATTAACAGCCCATATAAGTGTCCCACCGCTGAGTAAAGGCCATAGTCGCTCATAGTCACATAATCTCTTATATCTTCAGAAATAATATTTCGAAGATATGTGAAGTCACGATGTCTTCACACGTGATGCGTGAGTTCAAATATTAGATAAATACAATATTGAATAAAAAGCGAACATGAGCTATTTTTATATGCGTTTACGATTTTTATATACCTACACTGCGCAGAAATTTATCAGTACCATAAATGCTGTAAACCCTGCCAGTACCATAAATGCTGTGAAGCGTTACAAAGATCGGGTGATAAATATAAAAATAAATCGCGATGAAATCCGTACTCTGCTTTTATTAAGATGTGCAATGATCGCGTAAACACGTGAAACCTTCAGTTGGCTGAAATATTTAAATTCAAATTCCATCAGGCCATAAGTTAGACACGGCGCTTCTGGCTGAAAAAATAAAAAAAACAGTAGAGCTCACAGTGGTGGTTGTCTCCTGGGTGTACGCCATGCGGGTGGTGGACTCGCGGGGGGTGGCTGGGGAGGCGGAGGAGGCGGGCGAGGCGGGGGCGGCGGGCGCGGGGCTGCGGGTGGAGGCCGCGGTGGTCGCCTCTTCCGTCTCGTTCACCTCGTTCGCCTCGTCGTCTATCTCGTCGCTCTCCTTCACGGCGCTCAGAGTCTAGGATGAGGAATACATTGCAACTCTATACCGTCTTTTTTATGTAACAAAGTGGCAAACGAGCCAAGTGGAAGCCGTCGCCCATGGACATTTGCAACACTCTTAGGGTTGCGAAGGCGTTGCCGCCTTTTAATAAAGCGCGCCCCGGCTACCTCACTCACCAGACGAAATGCAGAACTGTGACACCTTTACTTTACGCCGGTCTTCTGTTAGGTCGTAGTACTTACCCGGTGGGAACTGCCCATTCGTGCAACAGTGAACACTGTCGCATGATCCTACCACAGTTAAATAGAAGTAGTACAAGTAGAGTCTAGTGTTCCAATGCACGTTAAAGTTCACGTCTTCACGGAAAAAATGGCTATAGATAAGTAATGCAGTTCTGTTCATTCACCTCGTTAGGCTCGTCGTTCTCCTTCACAGTGATGAAAGTTTAGAATGAGTAATGGATATTGCAACTATCCCGTCAAATATACAAATGATAATTAATACAGTTTAGATGAGATGCTAATAGCTGCATTAAAAAATCCGCTTTACATTATATGATATATAAGTGAATATCACAGATAACATAGAAAGTATGATACGAAAATAGATAGCAGTCTATCGTCTATCATTTATTCGTATAAACATGGTACATAATATTATAGTGGTGTCAAAGTTGTTACAATAGCTCACATGTTTGCCAGGTTAGGAATTTGGTAGGAATATTCCTTTCGCCGAGTGGAGGTCACGAGAGAACAGATTTTACGAAATGTTCCCCCTTGGGTCCGCTAGTAGTAAATAGAATGTAAAGAAGAACGTTTGTGACAATAATAACAAAGACGCCGTGACGCCTTCAAACATTGCCATCAGCGTGACAACGCAGCACTAACCTTGGCCCGTTCGTTCTGGATGTCCTGGCGCTGGCGGGTGCGCTGGTCGCGCTTCACGCTGAGCTGGTCCCGGGCCGCCTGCTCCCTCTGCACCTCGGCCTCGATGCGGTCCAGCAGCAGTTCCTCGGCCTCGGGGGTCATCGACATCAGGGACACGGCCATGTCGTCCTTCGACTGCATCGACTGCGGCATTCGGAATTGGGACACGGGTTCAGTTACAAAACGCGTGTGCGGACTTCCGAATGAATATAGTTAATTGCACACCAAAGTGAAGTGAACAAAATGTCAAAAACTTCATGTGGAAGATATGGGTACAACGGCGGTACTGAAAGTAATTTCTTCCGATCGACTGCGTAAAGCTCATTAGAAGTTAGGAAATGGACGCGTGTGCGTGCTTTTTAAATGAATATACTTTATTGCACACAAAAAAAATCTAAAACTTAATGTTGAAGTTATGGGTACAAAGTACCTTAAAAAAGTATGTTTCCGTTCATCAGGCAACCGTTTATAACTTGTCACCGCCTAAGTAAAAAAAAAAAACGTTCTATTTTCACAGCTAAACTCCAAGTAGACACTCTACAGACGCACTTAAATTACTTATTTTTTTTAATATCTTTCTGTTCGAAAATAAGTCGAAAATAAAACTTTTAACAAGAGACAAGTTTTAATTATCTTTAGAGAAGAGGAATTAAATTGAACAAGTTCTTGAGAAAATGATTGAATCTTGTGTATCATTTGCATCAATTGACTTTCCGTTAAGTATTGAATAGAATTTTCAATAGTAGTTTATTGAAAATTCGAGGATGGTGAAATATTATGAAGTATACCATTGCTATGTTCAAATCAAACATTTATAGAGGATAAATAAAAGTAATTATCTCAGGTTCATAATTGGGCGATGTATATTTTTTGTAGTATGTTCTTACCTGGACGTAGTCTTCAATGGCGGTTCCAATGCTAGCGTAGAGGTGAGGGCGGCGGCGGAGGGAGGACAGAGCACGTTGCAGAGCGCGGTCAGCGTCCTAAACGGGAGGGGAATAGATGAAATGTGTGATTGCATGTTCATCACTACAGTATAAAACAAAGTCATCCCTCTGTCTGTATGCTTAGATCTTTAAAACTACGCAACGGATATTCATGCGGTTTTATTTACTAGATACAGTGATTCAAGAGGAAGGTTTATATGTATAATACATTGCACCCGCGCGTAGCCGGGGCGAGTCGCTAGTCAAACTATATGAAACTGTAAGGCAGTACTGTACATTTGACAATGGTAGAGCCATGCAACAGCTTCAGCTATTTTCAAGAACAGATTGCTAACAAGGAAATTAGTTAAAAACTGCTTACATCAGCCTTAGCTATTGCTAGAACAGACTATGACAACAACTATGGAGAAACGGCTTGAGATGATGAACGTTATGTGAAAGTATTTACACTTCTACATTTCGGAAGGTCTTTCTTTAACGGTGGTAAGACAATCGGAGCAGCTTATTTTACACGAATGGGCAGCTCGTCGACCTAGTCCCAATTTTTAAAAGTTTTCAATGCATTTAAAAAGTCCTCAGGTTTTTTAGATGTTCGCTTGACAACCTTTCACATAAAAAATCTTATTCTTTAAGGAAACTATCCTAATCGCTTATTAAAGGCGGTACGCATGGAAGAACCTTTCGAAAATTTTCCTTTCTTAATGCCCATGGACATTTGCAACAGCTGTAGGGTTGCAAATGCGTTGCCATCTTTAAAGAAAGCGTGCCCCGGCTACCTCACTCACCAGACGAAACGCAGAAGTGTAACAATTCCACTTTACGCCGGTCTTCTGTGAGGTCGTGGTACTTACCCGGACGGACCTGCCAATTCGTGCAACAGTGTTGCGTGGTCCTTCCACCGTCCTTTCGGAAAATGGTCTTTCGATTAAATAAATAGTGACGTCACAATCACCTGAAGGCGATCGGCAGCAGAAGCGCGTTCGGCGGCGGCGGCTTCCCTTCCAGCGGCTGCAGCGCGGCGCCACGCGGCCAAGGCCCCGCTCCGTTCTGCTGCAAGCGCCCGCACCAGCCGCTGCAAGCACTTCTGGACTCGATGGGCCTGTAGAAATTTAGCTAGTGTTAGAACATGCCTATATTGTATTTGAATAATGTCCACTATTCAAGAACGTGCTAAGAGTAATACTTAAAACTAAATACTATCTTAACAATTTTATTGAAGGTACTATATTAACAATTTATGATACAAGCAACAGAACGCTAAAGAATTCTAAAATGAAATAGTTTAGGGCGTCACATTACTTTTATCTTTTATGCGCTGATAATTGTTAGCACGTGAATGTAATACATCCCCAGTAGAACAAAGGTTATGTGGCGATTAGAAAGCTTAGGTGGCGTGGCGATGGGCAGGCCATATAACTCGTAAAACCTATAACCGATTGGGAAGAAAGATTCTTGAGTGGCAGCCTCGTACTGGCCATCGTAGTGTAGGACGACCCCTTACTACAAGAAGTAACCACAAGTGCAAATCTACGGGAAGTCGATGGATGCAAATGCCTCAGATTGTGCTGCGTGGCAGTTTGTGGGGAAGGCCTATGTCCAGCAGTGGCAGTTGATATGATGATGATGGTGTCGCTATTACAGAAATATTTTTAGTTTCATATTGGCGAGATTCTCCCATTAATGTTCGGCCACCTGATACTTCTATGGCGTTTCAGATGCCCATGTGTGACCACTTATCATGATTTAAGTCAGTCGCTTGTCGCTCAATCTGTAGACTTACATTGGGGGGAGTGTCCCGCAGGGAACGGGTGTAGCAAGCGATGTCTTGTATCTTGTATTAACTGATGTTTTTGCTTTCAGTCCCGAGACTATTAAAGCTTCATCGGACGCAGAACCGGTGGGCTAGCCAGAACCCACGGGCTTGGACCCTCCGCTATGGGTAGGGTCGCGCATGTGCTCATGCGTGCGTTTAATTATGGTGTGTCATCTAAGGGCCGTCGAGGTCGCGGTTCGGACCGAGACCCCGACGGCCGTCGACTGTGCATTTAGCTAATCGGTGGCTGGGAGCAGTGAAAACCGCCCCGGAACGCGGGTGTACCTTGTGTACGCGTTGTGTGGGTCTCGCCGTGCTCGGAGGCGAGGCCGAACTGGTGTGATTGTTGTTACACTAACTGTGGGACAACAATCACACCAGTCGCTTGTCGCTTAATCTGTAGACTTACATTGGGGGGAGTGTCCCGCAGGGAACGGGTGTAGCAAGCGAGGGCGGTGCGTCGGCGCTGGGCGAGGTGCGCTAACACACGTTGCTGGTGCAGCGCGGCGAGGCGGCGGCGTTCGGCCACTCCTTCCTCCTCCAGGGACTGTTGGAAGATGTAATCGTTTAAATCACTCTTTTTCTATGTTAACAACTGTTGTAGCTTAAAAACAATTCACGGATTTTTCCCTCATTATTATTCCCAATTCCCGACGCTTCGAACCGTTCACGGATTCCATTGTCACGGGATTTGGAATTTCGTCTGTGAATTAGTTGTATTTAACAATAATGAAACAAGATGATTAATTGATAGTAAAATAATGTCTTTGTCTGTACCTGTATGTTGGCTTGGAACTTGGCGGTCATGCGTTGGCGGAAGGTCTGTGCGGCGGCTGGGTCCGAGCTCATCATCTGCTGGTAGCGCTCCTCGAGTTCCGACCACTCCTTCATCACCTTCGTGATCTAAACATTAGTGACGAGATTAAATTTAGGCCACGCAAAACTAAAATACGTCTGAATAAAATTGGCTCTAAGGGTTTTGCTCTAAAAGCACACGATGAAAAACGCGAATTTGAAGTTATCACCTTTATAAAACTATTTAATGAATAATGTACCAACTAAACCACAAATAAATGTAGACCACGACAGGAATTAATTTACACCGCGACGCGTAAATCGTGCACACAATAACTTAGAGAAAGTTCGCAAATATCTAAGTTGTGTGCGTACAAATAACTTAAAAGAATAAACCTTCCAAACCCATGTTTATATGGCACGATGCTGAACCAGCAGTTTTATTAAACTTGTGCATATTCCCGTATATAGAATACTATATACGGGAATATGCACAATATTTAGATTATTGCGATCGGTGAGTGTATGCATCTTAAAAGGTCACCAACAAATATGTGGTTAGTTTAACAAAAATGTGAGCGAACGTGAACGATACTGTCACAGGCGGTACAGAATGTTACTTGTATGGAGAAATCTGACCTTTTCGCGGTGAGTTTCCTCCAGACGTTGTTGGGCATCCTTGTAGCTCTGGTGCTCAGTGCGAGGGTCGAAGTGCGAGAAGTAGGGGTCCGAGGTGGCAGTCGAAGCCTGCATCGGAATAATATTAGAATTTATTAAATTGCTTATCGTTCTTGTTTAAAATCAACCAACCTTTCATCCTAAACTGTAAAACTTCAATATATGTTTTCATATTATCACAATCAACTCCCATTTTTTACAGTCATCGTTAAATTTGGGATTATTGGATTAATTTGATTTGGATCGTGGGATTTTGTAAGTTTTTTTTGAGCATCCCAGACTAACAGGTTGATTAGAAACCGCTTTTTCTATTTCCTATTTCCCATTCAAAACGAAAATTAGGGTTCTTTACAATATTCTTTTATTCTGACGTGACTATTCATATTGAATCCTTATTTTATCTTTTAATTGTATTACGTGTATACATTGATTGAATTTCCTACCAACGATACAAGAAGTGGTCGTAGCTCTTACCGCGGTGGTGGAGGTGGTCGTGGTGGTGGTGGTGCTGGTGGTCGACGGTGGTGGGGAAGTGTCGGGGCGGGGCCAGGCGCTGTCATCGCCGTCGGTGTAGTCGTCGTCTTCAGCATCGTCACGGGACAAATCCGCGTCCTCTTCCTCGTCCATGTCTGAGAGATGACCGTAATTAAACATTTTGCTTCAAGCCATACAGATGTATTTAGCTTAACAGTAAATATAGTGATAATGAAAATGCTTGGGATAAAAAATTTTTGGCTTTACAAATGACAAACTGATTTGGTTAATTTCTCATTAGTTTGTCAAAATTATATAATGGAATTTTGTTTTGTTGTAATTATATGTGTATAATGTAACTTTGGTAGGGCCAAGAAATAGTCTTCGCTGATGAACGAATGCGTTGGTCTGTCCGGGTAAGTGCCACGGCCTCACAGAAGATCAGCTTAAAGTGGAAGTGTTATACTTCCGCGTTTCGTCTGGTGAGCGAGGTAGCCTGGACCCACGTTATTAAAAGGTGGCAACGCATCTGCAACCCTACGAGTGTTGGAAATGTCAATGGGAGGCAGTTATCATTTAATATCAGGTGAACAAGCTCGTTTGCCACCTTTTCTCATAAAAAAATTGAAACAGTTTAATCAAACGTATATTACCGCGCAACAACCTAAATGTACCAACCTATATATTTATACTGTATTACTTTCCAGCTATGATATTAATAGTGTATGATTTTTTTTCTAATAAAGAAGACATTAGCGTACCGTCATCGGCATCATCGTCGTCGTCGTCGTCGCTGAGATTGAGGCTGTCATCATCGTCATCACCCAGTCCATCCTCGTCATCCAGTAACTCATCATCTCGTTCATCCATAGCAGCGGAGGCAGCAAGCATTTCCTCACCGCCGGGACTTACTGGCACACCTACATCCATGGGCTTGTGCATCTTAACGTTTTCTGGAAAAGAAAAATGTCATGGCTTGTAATCAAAGTGTACATTAATAGTTATATTCTTGTCAAATTAAACTATTTTACGGATTTTATTGCGTTTAATTAGTTTTTCAAATTCCCGACGTTTCAAACCCATTCCAGCGTTCATAGTCACGGGTCGTGAGTCGTTTCACGTCTTAAATTCAGAGTTAACTCGGTTCAGTTTTAATTCGATCTACGTAAAAAGATCTTATGGTATCTCGAGGTCAAGCAGTGTTGGTATGCTTGGATGAAATTTTATAAATAATATAAAAAATTGATGTCGATGAAAAAAAATATGAAGCTGGATCTTTCGCTATTGAATTTTTATAGTTACCTTTGAAATGTGGATTTATACAGGGAGATTTTTTTAAAAGTGCCCAAATTTACACAGGAGGTTCAGTCTCTGTAGTATAATCTGTGTAGTATAATATAAAAAACAGAACATGTTGACAATGCGGTAGTCATTCATAAATACCTAAATTTTACAGTGCACGAACTTGTGTGCATGTTAGTTATGAATGATCGCGCGTAAAATAAATGAGTTGCGTATAAATCACGCACTTTTTGAGATAAGTTCAAATGAATGTAATTAATTACTTAAAAGTGATTTTAAATATTTATCATTGTATATAACATTTTTTATGTCTACAATCTAATAAAAAAAATGAATACACTTAGAAAAGCCACCCTGTATAATCTTACGCTAGTGCATTTTGATAGTTACCCTTGAAATGTTTGGGGCAGCAGACGAACTCGACGCCGGAGAACAGGCTGATTCCGCACGGCAGGAGCATGGCGAAGGTCCGGAGCCTCAGGCCGCGTTGGGCGCACGCGCGCCCGGCGGTCGCGTTCCAACGGGCGAACTGCCAGCACCGGCTCTGGTTGTGGATGTGGTCGAAGAGGCAGCTCTCGGGCACGAGCAGCGCGTCCGATTGGAATGGGCCTTCTGCCGACAGACACTCTTAGTAGTTCACGTGTCGGTTTGAGGAGAACACCGATGTTTATGGACGAATCAAAGGAACGATACACTCTGACGGAGTATTGAGATGAAATTGGATGATGGTGGAACAATGGATGGATTACCTTCTACGTGATGCGTAAACCGTGTACACAACAACTTAGATGAAGTTTAGATACATCTAAGTTGTGTGTTGGTTATGAGTTAAAATAAAATAAAACTTGTAACCCCACATTTATTAAGATTTTTTTATAAACATTGCCCTCACTTTAGGATAACATTATCCTGTGTTGTAACGACGTTTTTACAAACATAAATCTCATGTGGACAAACACCCAGATGCGAAACAACTATCTGTGGGTCACACGTCACACAAATAATTGTCCCGGGTGGGAATCGAACCACGAACCCCGACACCGAAGCCAACACCTTGGCAACTGCCCCACGGAGTCATCAAGCAGTGTGTGAGCATTTGTTAAGTCATTGAACATTAACTATAATTAAAAGGTAAAAGAATGACTGCAGTTGTTAATTAATTAATCGATTAAACGATTGATACTCGTTCTGGTGAAGATATAAGATTATTGAAGAATGGATGAATGTGTTAGCGTTAAAAGCTGATTAAAATTATTATATTCGTACCAAGACAGCGGAAAGGCTTCACCCAGCGAGTGACCTTGCACTTAGCAGCATTCCCAGAACCGAGTTTGCACCAGTTGCTGACTTTAACATAGTGCGAGGCTTCGACGATGTTGGTGATGTCGTGGCTGGGGTACACCTGTAACCGCACAGATTAAATTAACGTAAAGCATAAGTAAGTAAATCAGTTTAAGGTGAATTGCGCTATATCTTTTATCAGACCGTCACCCTAAAGACTTATTGTAGATCTTCCTTCGCTATTTAGATTTGAACTTTTCCAATTTAATCAAAGGTAAAGAACGTCCAAATGATATAGCGCATGTGAACATTTAAGCTATGTGTTCCCGAAGGGTAATGATTGTTTAATAAATTCATTCTGATCAGGTCGAGGTTGGAAAGTCCCGCTTAGATTTTGACGTGACTCTGCTAACCGTTTACTTGACTTGAACAACGTTAAAGCCGATTCAGATTTGAGTAATGACTTTACGTTACATACAGCTGATGAGCCGACGAGCGCGTAAACAGAATTGTATTTGTTTATGTTGTCCCGCCATGATAAATTGTGATTAGCCAATAAGACTTCAGATTTATCATTATTCATCAGAAATTATTTTGCTAGACAGCTACAAAAGCATAATAAATATCTATTTTATTTAGATTTTTATAGTTTAGGTAAATTGTATCCATATAAATAGAACAGAATTTATTGAATTTACTAATTTTAAAACCCATTCGGTTTTCATTCTCGTTTGCTAATACAGATGGAAATTAAAAAGTCCAGTGTTGACAAAGTCGCCATTTTCAATTTAATTTGATTGATTACAAAACCCAATCAATCTCGAGAAAATTATATTTAAAAGAGTTCGCATTTATTTCAGTATTAATATTGATAATATTCTATGATAAACAGGAAGAAACAGAAACAGGAAGAACTGTTAAGATATGTGCAAAATAATGTTTTTTACTCAAAAAATATTGCATTCAGATACCCGCGGTATAAAATATAGAATTTTTAATCTGTAGGACACAGACGAATTTCTTTTTTCAATTAACGTTACTGTGATGCGTTCTTTTTGCCAAATAATGATCCTTAAAGCAAACGTCTTAACCATATTAATTTAAGATAATGATATCTGTCAGTTTTTAAACGATATTCCACTTGACAAAATCTGTTGGAATTTTAATAACGCATTTATAATTACTTCTTGTCTTCATTTACCTTCTTGCAGTAGTCCAGAATTTCCATCTTGTCCTTGAGGCAGTTGTGGGGCTTAGTGGTAAGATCAGGTGTCCATCGTCCAGCTGCGGACATGTATTGAGGGTGGTAGGTGGCGCCAGCTTCGCATAGCACCGCCACCTGGGGTTCCGCCCCGCTGGTCGCCTGCAACAAAGCGACCAATGAAAGAGATTCTTCAATTATTCGAACTAAACATGCATTTGTAATTCCAGAATACAAATATTACTCAGCATGTTCTTCATTATTTTATGATGCAATTTGGCATTCAATGACTTTTCAAGTTACAGTATTTTATAATGTTCTATTATATTTATTTCATTAATCTATATTTTGTTGGTAGTGACGAAACGAGTGAAAGATAATCTTTCACTTCTTTCAACACAGTCACTCTAACAGAATCTCGTTTGAGATTAATTCCATCATGTTCCTCTTTAAATTTAAATTCCCCTTAAATACCGCCTACTACGTATTCAAATACGTTAATGTACAATTATCATAATTATCTCGTGTTGGAGAGCCTATTTCTGGTTCACGGGTGTTAAAAATAACATTAAAATGTAAATGTCCGATAAGGAGATAAAAGTGGGGACCTCTCTACTACCGATGACACTAAATAAATTTCTCCCTCCCAGAAATGCCTTTTATGTACGCTATAAAGCGCTCGTTTATTTTGAAGAGTTCGGATTGACAAGAGAATGGTCCGTTGGCGAGACAAGATTAAGATATATTCGATGTTACTGACGCCGGGCTTCTTCGCAATATTTGCCTTGGATTTTTTACCGATAAATGTACTAAGTTTCTTGTTAGCTACATTCTTTTATACAAAAGATTCCTTTTATATTGGAGCTGTATTGGAAAAGTTCGATCGGGAAGATTCGCTGTCTTGTTTATAATTTTGCAAGAGTTCGTTGTTTCTTTTTGTACTTATCTTTCAAATGTCTATTCTTGTTAACACAATATTTACTCCTCCGCCCACATAAGATAGTTTGTTCCGTATTTTACGTTTGCGTCTGAATCAAGTTGTGCGAGTTAATAATAGTCGGTCTGTATTTATATATATTAAACTATAGTTTTTTAACCTTTATAGAGTGAACAGAACTACATTCGTATACGAATTTCGATTCTATCGTTAGTTTTAAACGTCATAGAAGCTTTGCTGAGTTACACACAATTGTCAGTGATTTTTCCAGGAAATACGCAAGATTCATCAATGGATCACCGAATTGTGAAGCCAATGGCATTGTAATCTTCTTCTTTCCTTCTCTTGCCCTTATCCTACCTAGGCAAGGGCAGTATAACATATGGAATCGAGTTGTTAATGATATTGGCTAGTTTGTACGTCCCAGATTCAGAAAAAATTCTGTGGATTGCACCCATACTCCCTATACTCATGTTTCCTATACCCATGTTTCCCATACTCCCGTGTGGGATTCGAACCTACGATCTCCGGCGTCGAAGCTAGTAGCTTAGCAATGTGGCAATGTGAACTATTATCCTTTAAAGATATTTTATCAAGAGTACCACCGAAAGAGACTTTATTTACCAAGCATCAATTTGTCAGAGTGTTCATGAAGTGCATCACTTGATTAAAACTTAAAAGTCGCCATTTTAAACTCGACTACCTGTTGAAGAACCATCGACTGGAATGAAGTGGAAAATTCCGCTGTGAATTTATCCATTATTCGTAAGCTACCATAACATTCACTTTGGCTCAAAAATTCATTCGACCCTTAAATACCCGCTTTTGAGCAGTAAATTTCTATACGGGTTGGCGGTAAAGGAATTGATAATATTGCACGAATGAATTTTAGTCAACAGATTCAGATATATATGATTGATAATTGAAATAAGATAGTTGGAATGATTAGCACTGTGGTAGCGCCAGGCAACAGCTTCGGCTGTTGCACGAGTGGGCAGCTCGGTCCGGGTAAGTACCACGGCCTCACAGAAGACCGGCGTGAAGTCGAAGTGTTATACTTTTGCGTTTCGTCTGGTGATTAAGGTTGCCGGGGCCCACTTTATTCAAAGTCAAAGTCAAAGTCAAAGTATATTTATTCAATATAGGCCTAACTTAAGCTCTTATTGAACGTCAACAAAAATCTACCACCGTTAAAAGGTGTCAACGCATCTGCAACCCTACGGGTGTTGCAAATGTCAAGATGAACTATCAGCTTCCTTGCCACCTCACATAAAAATAAAGAGGCAACACGAAAAGAAAAGGTTCATTATTATTCTCGAAGGCATATAAAAAGAGACAAGAATTAATATTGCATCTCTTTAAAGACACATCAAACACAAACATATATATGCACTTTAAATACAAAGTTATACTTGAGGCTACCTGGACACGACAGGATGTTAGACGTAGTTTGTTAGATGGCACAAGTAAGATAAATAGGGACGGTCCCGCAAAATTTGTCTAGACGACTGGGGTGCTGTGTCTAGCCAGCACTATACATTGAGGAAACTCCATTCATACTGAATGGGTTCAATGAACTAACGCTGCTAAAAATATCTAACTTATCGAACGTTCTCTGCCATTGTGGTTAATCTATCGCTTTCTATATCTTTATATAATAAACCATGATGATTTTTTTTTGGTTAAAATTTCACTTCATTACTTTTTCGTGAATAAAATGGAAATATTAGAAAACGAAGTGTTATTTTGTCTAAATAACCTTTCGACTTTGCCGAGTTCAACCCAAGGGATGGAACCAGGAAAATTCAAAGTTCGAAGAACTCCGCGAAACAATATTTATACTACACTCTTTTTAATAGTAGTAAAATTGCAATCAGTGTTTCATAAAAAAAAATTATTTATTCATCTTTTGAACCGAGTCCAAAAGGAGCTTCAAAAGGTTCTCATTTAGTAGACTGTTTTTTTTTATGTTTGTTACCTCAGAACTTTTAACAGAGTGAACCGGAATGATTTTTTTTATTTCAAAGCTGGTGCTTCCCATGTGGTCCCATATTAATTTCATTGGTACTGGATCTTGGACTCCGGAGATACTTAGGGAACTCCAGAAAATCAATTATAAAATAAATACAGAGCGAGATATTTGAAAAAATTGGTTATTGTCTAACTCTGATAAAGCTACATTAACGTTTTTTCCGTTTTTTTTCTTCCTCCTTATGCCTCAAGTCAGCAAGTCAGCATAATAATCTTGTAGACAAAGAACTGTTTCCATAACTTAAAATACCGTACCGCGAACGGTAGTTCATTGCCCCCTCTCCGCCTTCGCAGGTTTTTCCACTTGGTAAATATTGTGTTGTTTTATTTCCAATCGATAGAAACGTGATACGGCGCCACCGGAGCGGGATGATAAATAATTGCGTATTGCCCCGTAGACATAAGGGGGAGGTAGCGCACAATGGGGAGCGAACAAAAAACGTAATTGAACAAACGAACGCATACGTGTAGGAAGGCATTTGAGGGGGTTGCTGTAGTTGGAAAACACGTGCTTTTAATACCAGAGGCTCCATAGTTTCCTTTCTGCGTCAGATTGACAAACTGAATATTCTTAAAGACTTTTAGTTATTTATTTATGTATTAGACCAACTTACTTTTTATGTTTTACCCATAATTACACAAAAAATATTTAACATTTTATATTGTACGGTTCGATGAATAAAATAATTAAATTAATAATTTATTAAGCTTATTTGGAAGCCTTGTTTCCATTGTTTTTGAAAGGTGCATGTTCGTACATAAGAAATTTGTTTATGTTAAAAAGAAATTGGACGAAAAAAAACGTATTTATGTAACACGTAAAATGGACCGGGATAGTTAGAATAGCTGAATTGTACTGCGAAGCTAATGATGAAGAGTTTAATTTTACCGAAAAGCTGCAACTCAAAATTCCGTCGATCTCTTTGCACCTAGACCATCACTAGAAAGTTATGTGTCTACTTGTCTATTGACTGTCAAAAAGCAGTTTATTTATATCAACAGCTTATTGTTAATAATGTTATCACTAAGCTAACAATGTTGTTGACAATTAGCTGTTGGAATAGAACACTAAAGAAATAAATTTTGTCGCGCAATCGTAAACATACATGGGCGTCTAAGTAATCTCTACATTATGGACGCTGTCTAAACGTCTCCTCGGAACTCATTAACAACTAAGACACAATCAGGACTGGCTCGTTAAACGTCGAGCCAAAGTGTCCGCTGCTCTCAAAATCCGGTCTCTTGATGACATAGAGTTGCAGTTGGTAATTAATTTTCAGCTTGTAACTCTCTCAGAAGCGTCGCACAAATCCGACGCTTAAGGGTAAGGAATTTGTCAAAGGATAGCTTCTAACCCATTGACTTTACTTCTTGCGACAATACCTTGCAGTGCATGTTATTTCAATTATAATATAATTCGATGGCGCGGAAAAGAAAAAAACCAGCAAGTGCGATTCGGACTCGCGCACGAAGGGTTCTGTGCCATTAACCATAAAAAAGGCAAAAAAAAAAAACATGTCTGTTGTATAAGAGCACCACTTAAATATTTTTTTATTCTGTCTTTTAGCTTTTGTTATTATATCGGCAACAGAAATACACGGTTCATGAGATACAGCCTGGTGACAGACAGACAAACAGCGGAGTCTTAGTAATAGATCCCATTTTACCCTTTGCGTACGGAACCCTAAAAATACCCATGTCCATTTCTTGGATATTGACTCCTGTTTAAAATCATTTTACGAATTTTATACTTTTTCAATTTTCTTTACAGCATTCATGCCGTCTTTACATACTAAACGCAATATGTACCCTTTAAATGGTTTTAATTCAAGAAAAAAGGTGTTTAATTTATGAAGCATTCGTTGGGGCGATGTTAATACAGAACTTTTAACGGTTTCATTTAAGACCGACCCAATGGTTCACGCTTCAACTTTGTAAGTGCGCAGTTAATTGTCAACCTTTCGCTGGCTGCGCACTATTTCCTTTTTGCTTAATTAATTTAGAGCGTCCTCGCTCTAAGCCTGACTTGTGTTTCTCTTTAAAGTCTACACAGTTTGCCGACAGTTGTCTTTTCGCTGACTAATTACTCCCCCTCCCCCACCCTCCCACCCGGTCCAGGAGTCTGCCACTTTCGGAATTTAATTCATCTTAGTCTTGATAGTGAAATTCATGAAAGCACGGAGCAAGCGAAGCGAATATTAAAGAATAAGTCTATAGAGAAATTAGGAATCATAGCATAGGAAGAAAAATATGTTCACTATATCGAATTTTAAATTGAAACAATTGGTCACTACACACACACAAAGACACATAAAATTATTATTTAGATTTCCGTTGTATAATTTTTTTTTAATAAACAACTCTGATATTGATAATTAGGAACTTAACGCCCGGTTTCTGAAACACTGATCATCGTAGAAATTACCTAATCAGCTGTCAAATTGCTTTTCAAACGTCATTTAAGTTATCAAAGGTATGGTTAAACTCTTTGAATTGATCACTCTGATCATTAAGAAAATAATTAAGCTTACATTATATCGGGAAATAATAATTCACAAAAGATCTGAGAATGGACCTGGATAGATTATAGCTATGAGGAAGTACATGCAGCGAATTGCATAACTTGCCTCGTTAGAACCGGATACCAAGCAACCAAGACTAAGTCCGTACTTCAGCATTGAAGTTGTCTGTTCACGGGCTCTTCGCAATTTGCAAACTTGTCTGTTTGTTTTGAACATCGATGATGTTTAGGTAGGTCTCTGTGGTACTTACTATACGTCGCTTATTATGTCATGAAAATACTGCTGATTTTTAAATAACTAAAACTAAACGTGAACAATAGAAAACCATTCTTTTGTTTTTTGATTTTTTTTAAAGCAAAATGTGGGCCCTTTGTGTGAACTGGAGAAAGTTGACATGCTTTAAATAAAACTTTTAAGTAAGAAAAAAGATAATTTTAGATAATTGTGAAATCACGTTTTTCAATGTGGTGATCTCCAAAGTAAATTATATATTAATAAATATGTCAGATATTGTAATTGTGCTATCTATTATATTATATATATAGCTATGTATCATCGATTGAATTTTGTTAAAGGATGAAATAGAGTATCGTTATTTTTATTGAAAAAGCTTGATTAAATCAAGATCAACTTATTATATAACTTATTTATTACTTAAAGTGCAATCACATATGCCGAAAAAAAAATTTAAACCTTTCTTTATAATATATACTGTATATCCACTGTACTGAGAAGGTCTTTGCGCGACAGTGGAACTTGTATACACTAGTAATTTACTTTATTTTTAATTTATATAATCATTACTTCCAAATGTACTTCTGGATTTAAACAAAAATAAAGATTTCAGTTTCTCCTCTTTTTCGGAATGCATACGAGCGTCTCCATATCTGAATTACCACCAACGAGTGTTTACTTCGCTACCAACCCATCGAGTAATGTGTAGTGTTAGGTGATGAACGCACTGGCCGATCGAAAACCCATCTAGCTTCGAAGAAGTGACACGTGAAGACTTTCGAATGAACTCGAAAGTAATTTCGATCCGACATAAAATACACACCCGCGACAAGTTTGACATCCTTGGTTTTCGCTCGGGTGTCACTTATCGACTTACGAAAGTTCACTAACAAGGGCGAGGTTGTAAGTGCAAACTCTAGTACCGGAAGCAAAGTTCCGGGGAACCGCAACCAATCACGTCGTATCGGACGAT